CTCAAACATCACTCCTGTCTTAAACAAAAACGGCGTCCAAAAATAACCGTTTAGAAATAAACATATATTTTTTTTAGGAGAATTGCACTACAATAATTCTGCTTTGAAGAAAAAATATGAGATGAGATTTGCATTACTATGTTGATGATCTAGATCTCCAAAATATCATGGAATCATGAATTTGTATAAAATCAATCACTTCAAAAATGATCTCAAATCTTGTTTTGGTATGCCGGAAAAAAACAAGATCTGAGCAGGAGAAACTCAGTATAAAAAGTACTTCAAATCTTCCTGGAGTTACGATCTAAAAGTTCATTTTATAACATTTTGTGCAATACAAAGATGTGTTGCCAAAATATTCATCATTCTCCAAATTATCCTGTTGATATTTTACAGGTTAATCGAAGTCTTGATCGATGTCCACTCAGAATTTTTGTGCATTTTATGCTTCACGGAGACTCATAACATCATTTAAAATAATTAATTGTTTTTAAAAATAACAATGACAACATGATATTCCATGATTTTCTAGTCTTTTTTTCAGAAAAAAAACCGGGTATTGAAAATCAGTCACATTTTTCTAAATTCACAGATTTAAGACATGTTATGAGCCAGGTAAAAAATTAAAGCAGTAACCGGGGCGTAGCTTTGATTGATAATGTGTGAACGAAACTGCAATCATTTTCATATAAATCAGCTTGCTATCTTTCAATCTACAATAAATTAATTGATCGCCAGAATGTGTTCAACAAGTTCATGATCCCCTTATTTCCTCAATTTACTCACCCTTATTAGTTATTTGTTGACTGTTTTTGGACTTTCCGTTAGGATTTTTTTTATTATAGTCACTTTAACGCTCTTGGGTCATTCGTGACTTGTCCGGGGGTGAGATTTGAACTCGTGACTTTGGCGTGAGAGGTATGGATGCTAACCACTACGCCGGGGTCGCTCCCCTTCCATTAGGAATATTTCTCCGCATATGAAACACTTGTCTTTAATCCCTCGTTATAAAATATATTCCCCGTGCACAATTCAATGCCCATCTCATCTCCATTGAACATTTGTTATCGATAACACGTTTAACCAAACGCTTGATCGCAGTGGAATACCTCCGGTGGGAAATCTTTCACAAGCACGTATTGCACATCCCAGTCCAAGTAAAATTGCAATTTTTTTTAGGTTTTAAAGCACTCTACAAGTCTAAATCATGGTTTACATAGTTCACATAAAACCCAAATTATTACCTTGCAGGTAACCAATAAGCCCGCTAATTTGGATTGATTAGGCAAATTATTAGTTGGATTATTATTAACCAGGTTTGTTAATTACTTGGGATTGCCCCCCACTTTCTTTCTATCAACATAATCGAAAATTTGATATTCAGAGTTGTGAGTGCTTTCACAAAATTAGAAATGTGGTCCATGTGACCCTGAGTTCAATATTTAATCATAATCTGCTACTTCAAGCAATCAAAAAATCCGTCCATCCAAGCAGGATCATTGGATAGCATAATGTCTGAATTTATCCGGTTCTTAAGCACACAATGAGAAAATAGAACTACAAGTATTCAGAAATATATCTCTTATCTTTTTTTCCATTCTTGCATTTACAAAAAAGACGCTCCAACCCATTTTCTGAGGTTTAATTTTTATTGGATCGAACTGAACAGCGCCACCTAGAAACTCGCTAATCCACTTGGAGCATGTATTTTGTCACAACCAACAATGTAAAGCTCTACTCAGAGATGTAAATAGATTATTATCGATCCTCTGAATCCCACTTCAACTCAGGGATAGCCCAAAATCATCAAAATTCAGTTCGCCAAGCAGAATCTCACGAACACTAGCGTGTTTAAAGTCATAGTTCTTACAGTAATGCTTCTGTAATTTTGATACTAAACATATGCAGCTGGAGAAGACTATGTTCCTTATTTAATCAATTAAAATAATTCATTTAAGCACCCACAAGCTCACGATTCTATGGAAGATTTTATTAATTTACAAACATCGTAAAACTACACCGAGTAATTGAAACCGAGTAATACTGTTCGAAGAGGATTAAGAAATATTTCCCTAATTTCCAAAGAAATTCCTTGTGAATTCCTGATTTTCCAGGACTGAAATGGAATTCCCTGAAATTCCAGGTTTTTTTCAGGTAGTCGACACCTGCAGATTCAATAATGTATACGATGATTCGACTAAATGATAGAATGGTTAAACTTTTGTGAAACCCCTTAATATCATTGATTTTGTTTATTAGGTTTTTAAAAATGCCTGGAGTTCAGATCTTTATTTTTTTTATTATAGTCACACCAAATGAAATTCTAAAAAAAAAATACTCTGTATGCTATCGTGGTAGGAATAACAGCAAAATCACCAATTGCCCCGTGCACGAATATATTGCGAGTGAGAGCAAAATGTGCAATAAATTTGTGGATTTTTTTATACTTTACACAGTGAAAGACATAATATGACAGTTGTGAACAGATGCGTAAACATGAGAATTGTTTGATTCCAAGTAACATTGTAAGTTTTATAAAGGTTTAAATTATTGATCAAGACCAAATTTTGGCCTACATGACTGAGATAAAACCAAAATTGTTACATTCAATTGGCCTAACGGAACTATCCACCTACACTCTTCTAAAGATCATTCTCTAGCTAAGAAATCATCACACTAAAGCTTCATGTTAGCATTTCCAACCAACCCCCAAAATTGTTACTTGGGATCAGGGTTGCTTCCAATCACTTGCTATAAAAAAATGTTTTTCGGAATTATGTAATCATGAAATAGTATAATGCTAATTAGTAGTTGTAAGTTACAAGAGGTCAAGAAGTATATGTTTGACACATAAAATCTGTCAATATTGCTTTCAGTGCGTCACAATCAGCGATTTTACGACTCGTGAGCGCTCACCCTGAGTGAACACTCACACATCATAAGATCGCTGATTGTGACGCTCTGAAAGCGGAATTGACAGGTTTTATGAGTCAAACACATACTTTACACCCTCTTCTTGTTACTTATAAATACAACATATCATTGTAACATGTAATGATTGCATAATTATTTTTTTTATAGCAAGTGAGTGGAAGCAACCCTGCTTGGGATGATTATTTATGAATCCTCAGCTCTGTAAAGTTAATTCGGTTGAGCCTTAACAAATAAATTAATAAACAATAATCGAATCTTCTTTCGCTTCCTAGACCGTTCGAGAAATTCATGTTAATTTCTGCGAATATAGCGCACAATATTCTATGCAATAACGCATAAATTTGCAAGCTCGTAAACGATTTTGTTGTTTATGCCAACTATAGCTCAAAATTAAACGAAGGGAGATTTTACGCGATAGTTAAAATTCAGATTTTTTTTCTGTGTGGGCGTCGTAAATTCTCGGTGCTGTAGTGGCAGCTGGTTCTGAGGTGGCAACATTTCCCTAACACTCCCGTGCACTTTCCACCTTGTCACTATCTTCGGCACTGGCCACTACTAAATACCTGCGCCTGGGCAAAAGGATCTGCGCTGAGAAGCAATCCATTGCGAGACTCCACGGTTGTGGTTCCCAAAAAAAAAGTATGTATCAACAAACCAACACACTCAAAGCTCTTCATAAAGCGATTCCTTTAAGAGGTTTGACAACATTGAAAGATTGAACATTGATTCAATTTAATTTTGACACATGTGAACTGTGAAATAGTGCAGTGTTGCCAGCAACTTTAAATATTGAGAACGTTTCTCACCATGGGTACCATCCTCTTGACTAAAATTCGGGGGCAAATTGATTACATGAAACGTAATGGTTTCTAGTGACTTTCTATGGGATATACCTATTAAATTTGGGTTCCCTAAATCCTTGCACGAAATGAATTTTCTGTAGATATTATGGAAAATATTGTTTTAATGCAGTTACGCCTAAATGTATGATTTTTTTACATTTATCACTGGTAATTTAAGAGAAAACAATTAATTTCTAACATTGAAAGCATTTTATCATATAAAAAATCGATTGATTGACACTTCGTTCAATGAAAGTTAAGGACAAAAAGCGTTCTAACCCTATGATTCGTATGTTTGAAATACATATTGAATGATATTGAACGTCAATTAACTAAACGTGTACTTCTTTTTGCAAAAAGAAACTCGTCAATTCTACCATTGGAGTTTCACGAGAAATTTCATAATGAAATGCTATCATGATTTCTCTTGATATCTATCACCAACCAACCAATTCTATTTCGGTGATCAATTTGCCCCTGGAATGCAGTAGTTACATTTTTCATGTTAATTTTTAAGTGGAGGAATTCATATCAAGATGGCAGAAGGAAAAATACGATCGCGCATTTGAAATTCATGCTTCGAAAGCAGGTAATATGGGGGGAGTCCAAAGAATAGCAGCCCCACGCCGCCGGATCCTAAATCCGACACTGGTAACGAATTGGGGTCTCTCTTAGCTCAGTCGATAAAGGTGCAGCTATCAAGCAAGACCATGCTGGAGGCAGCTGGGTCCAATTCCCGGTCCAGTCTAGGAATTTTCCGGATTGAATTTTGTTTTCGACTTCCCTGGGCATAGAGTATGACTATATTTGCCTACACAGTAATATTAATGTTAAAATGGTTCAAGCTCTCAATTAACAACTGTGGAACTAAAATTCAAAGAACACTAAGTTGATAATGCTATATATGAAGAAGAAGGGTCACGAATTCATGAATTTTTTTTCAAAGTGGGTCGCAATCAATTGAATCAACGAAAGTTTGAGCAACGCTGCTATACAAAGTTTCGTTGATGGAGACGCTCTGCACAACAATATAAGTTCACTAATTCTCTACCTCGCTCAGTGAAAAGAATATGTCTGCAGCAACAGAATGAAATATGACTCTCACTGCCATGCCACTTGTGGCATAAACGCATTAACTTTAAATAAATATGAACACTTCCGAGCTAGGCAATCGTTTCTGCATTTCTGCACCTACACAATTTCGCACGTCTCTATGCCACTTACCATTGAACATTGCATAGAAATACGGTGAAACCGAAGCCAGTATGACTTTATGTGCATTTATGGTTTCACCTCCAACTTCCAGTGTAACGTCACAGAGCTACACCACGGGGGATGGGTCCAGCATGGAACGAGATTGGGAAAAAGGTACACAAATGGAAATTGGTTTTCAATATATCGGAAGAATTTTAGCAGATTTGCGTGCGTGTGTTGCTGTATATGTTGGGATGCAGCAAATATATGTGTGTAGGTGATAATTCGACTGTTGAGCGGTCGCTGTCAACACCCACAATTTGCATGTTTTTAGATTGGTTTGGGATTTGCTGACCTGAGCGTTCTGTCGCATGCGGTTAATTGCCGAGAACGATGCTATGCAATGGCCCGGATTTTGGTGGTGTGCTTGCGGCAGTATGTCGTCGCCGGACATGTTTGGCGGGCTGAGGTCGCTCGGTGTCTGCGTCGAGTTGCTGGTTACAGTGGTGACATCTTCTCCATTTGTTCCATCGTTGGCTACTGGAGATCTGCAAATGAAAAAAAAAAGAATAATAGAAGAAATCAGAATAAACCTGCTCATCACAAGTCGCATAATTATAGCCTCATCCATAATGATCAGGACCGTCTGTCGGCGGCAGGATGGTATGAATGAATAGACTTCAGCACGATAGCATCGTTGTGCCGGCGTAATGACAGTTGAGACTGTTGAAAGTCTACGCTTTTAATAAATTTCCACTCTCGTCTGAGGCGACAACGCCGAGTTTCCATTGTTGTTTGCGTATCGTGCGGGCTTTAGCAGCTATTTCTATCACTTCGAGGAGGAAAAAAAGTTCAATGACATGCTTTCCAAAGGCGACAGCATAGGACGGTTGTCGTGGGTGGCAGCAGTGGGCTAACACACCCCACTTGTGCCCATTGTCGAACAGTGTCATGCTTATAACACCAGCCGCCATAGGGAATGACTGGTCGGAGCAGGGTAGGATTTATGTTGGGGTCGTGTCCAGTTACATACGCTTCCGGTGCGGCTTGCCTTCTGCATGTTGGGTATTTTTTTGGGTCAAATGTTCTGGTTGACATGTTGTGACGTTTTTGTTTGTTCTTAAGATTCAGGGTTTCGTATCTAGAATTTTTTTCAAATAAATAATGTGCATAAATTTAAATTGCATAATATTGGATTCAACTCTGGCTTGACACCGCAATGAACAGTGATAGGGGCTAAAATGTTTTCTTTGGATCCATTTCGTGTCGGAAACTTAATTCCATGGCTTATAATAGCGATAAGAAATATAAAGGAGCTGTCTAATTCCTTGCCGGTTCGGTATATTGTTTCGTTTGCTTAACGGGATTATTGGTCTTTGAACGGGTGCCAACCCTACGCAAAATGAATAATATATATGTTGTGTGGATGGAGAACATTGGTTCCCGATGCCTTTTATAAGTGATATTTTACCCGAAGCAACGAACTTTCTCAGTCAGGTAAGCAATAAGGAGGTTATATAATGTAACAACGTTCCGGAAGGTCAATCAACTTTTCAGTAAAAATATTTATTTTATTAATTTATATATTTATTTACTTGTATTTTGTAACTTAAGACTTATGTCTTTCTGTTACATCGATTATATAAAAGTAGAACAAGCGCCACAAGTATATTACACAAAAAAAATCATACGTAACAGTAACTGAACTACATTTACTACTCAACTAAACAACTTTGTCTTTACCGAACCCAGAAATGTAAGAGTATATTACAGATTTGCATAAAAGCATGCAGAATTTGTAATGTTTAACCGCATGAAAAGATTCTGTAATGTGGTCGTCGGAAGGTATTTAAAATAATTTTACAATTTTGAGGCTAGATTTAACTATGCTAAATTTTTAAGAAAGTTAGTTTCTTCTAATAAAGGGTGCTACGATGAAAATGTTGTCAACAAGAATGCATGTAAATTGATTAATTTTTTTATTTAATAAATAAAATTATTTTTCCTTCTTTAAGATCAACTCGTATAAAAAAAATCAGCTAAGCTTCCAGTTGACCGAATCCGAAATGCCAGGCCATTCGTTTAACTCCTGCCAACAGATTCTGTTAGTTTCCACTTTACGATGGCCCAATGTTTTGACGTAGACTACGTCTTACGGGAAGATACTGGGGGTAAATCGAAAATCTTAAATTGCAGACCTGTAGGATTGCAACAGAGGAATACGAACCGAGACCAACGGCAACGACCCCAGCGACGAAATAGGACTTGCGATTGGAAACTCGGCACGTGGAACTGTCGATCTCTCAATTTCATCGGGAGCACCCGAATACTCGCCAATCTACTGAAGGACCACGGATTCGGCATCGTAGCGCTGCAGGAGGTGTGTTGGACAGGATCCATGGTGCGAACGTTCAGAGGTAATCATACCATCTACCAGAGTTGCGGCAACACACGCGAGCTGGGCACAGCTTTCATCGTGATGGGCGAAATGCAGAAGCGCGTGATCGGTTGGTGGCCGATTGACGAAAGAATGTGCAGGTTGAGGATCAAGGGCCGATTCTTCAACTTTAGCATAATCAACGTGCACAGCTCCGGAAGCACAGATGATGAAAGGGACGCATTTTACGCGCAGCTCGACCGCGAGTACGATCGCTGCCCAAGCCACGACGTCAAGATCATCATAGGAGACCTAAACGCTCAGGTAGGCCAGGAGGAGGAATTCATACCGACGATTGGAAAGTTCAGCGCCCACAAGCTGACGAACGGGAACGGCCTACGACTCATCGATTTCGCCGCCTCCAAGAACATGGCCATACGTAGCACCTTCTTCCAACACCACCTCCCCTATCGTTACACCTGGAGATCACCACAGCAGACGGAATCGCAAATCGACCACGTTCTGATTGATGGACGGCACTTCTCCGACATTATCGACGTCAGGACCTATCGTGGCGCTAACATCGACTCTGACCACTACCTGGTGATGGTCAAACAGCGCCCAAAACTTTCCGTCATCAACAATGTCAACTAAAGCAACCGGATGTCGCCTTAGCATACGCGCAGAATCTCGAGGCAGCGTTGCCAGAGGAGGGTGATCTCGATGTGCCCCCTCTAGAGGACTGCTGGAGTACAGTAAAAGCAGCCATCACCGACGCAGCCGAGAGCACCATCGGGTACGTGGAAAGAAGTCGACGGAATAAACGCCGCCTGGAAGAAGCGGAGTGCAAGGAAATGGAACTGCTGTGCCGTTCCCAAGAAACACGGAAGTTCTACCAGAAGCTCAACGCATCCCGCAACGGCTTCGTGCCGCGAGCCGAAATGTGCAAGGATAAGGACGGGAGCCTCTTGACGGACGGACGTGAGGTGATTGAAAGGTGGAAGCAGCACTTCGATGCGCACCTGAATGGCGAGGAGAACGTAGGCATGGGAGACCAGCGCAATGGAGGAAACGACTACGTCAGTGCAGCAGATGACGGAACTAACCCAACTCCCACGCTAAGGGAAGTTAAGGATTCCATTCAGCAGCTCAAAACCAACAAACCAGCTGGTAAGGATGGTATCGCAGCCGAACTCATCAAGATGGGCCCAGAAAAGTTGGCCACCTGCCTGCACTGGATGATAGTCAGGATCTGGGAAACAGAACAGCTACCGGAGGAGTGGAAGGAGGGGGTAATCTGCCCCATTCACAAGAAAGGCGACCATTTGGAATGTGAGAACTTCAAAGCGATCACCATTTTGAATGCCGCCTACAAAGTGCTATCCCAGATCATATTCCGTCGTCTATCACCTAAAATGACCGAGTTCGTGGGAAGTTATCAAGCCGACTTCATTGACGGCCGATCGACAACGGACCAGATCTTCACCGTACGGCAAATACGGCAAATATCGACCGCCCAGAGCCATGGAAAATCATGGACGAGAACGGCTTTCCTGGGAAGCTGATCAGACTGATCAAAGCAACGATGGACGGTGTGCAAAACTGCTTAAGGGTTTCGGGTGAACTATCCAGTTCATTCGAATCTCGCCGGGGACTGCGACAAGCTGACGGACTCTCATGCCTACTCTTCAACATTGCTCTAGAAGGTGTAATGCGACGAGCCGGGCTCAACAGCCAGGGTACGATTTTCACGAAATCCGGTCAATTTGTGTGCTTTGCGGACGACATGGACATTATCGCAAGAACATTTGGAACGGTGGCAGATCTATACACCCGCCTGAAACACGAAGCAGCGAAGGTCGGACTGGTGGTGAGTGCGTCAAAAAAAAGTACATGCTAAATAGTAGGCGGAACCGAACATGACAGGATTCGTCTAGGAAGTAATGTCACGATAGACGGGGATACTTTCGAGGTAGTGGAGGAATTCGTTTACCTTGGATCCTTAATGACGGCTGACAACAATGTGAGTCGTGAAATACGAAGGCGCATCATCAGTGGAAGTCGTGCCTACTACGGGCTCCAGAAAAAACTATGTACAGAACGCTAATAAGACCGGTGGTCCTCTATGGACACGAGACATGGACTATGCTCGAGGAGGACCTGCAAGCACTCGGAGTTTTCGAGCGACGTGTGCTAAGGACGATCTTCGGCGGTGTGCTAAGGACTATCTTCGGCGGTGTGCAGGATAACGGTGAGTGGCGGTGAAGAATGAACCACGAGCTCGCTGCACTCTACGGCGAACCCAGCATCCAGAAGGTGGCCAAAGCCGGAAGGATGCGGTGGGCAGGGCATGTTGCAAGAATGCCGGACAACAACCCTGCAAAGTTGGTGTTCGCTACTGATCCGGTTGGCACAAGAAGACGTGGAGCGCAGAGAGCACGATGGGCGGACCAGGTAGAGCGTGATCTAGCGAGCATTGGGCATGACCGAGGATGGATAGCGGCAGCCGCAAACCGAGTATTGTGGCGTACTATTGTTGATTGTGTCTTATCTTAAATGTGATGTTGTACAAATAAATGTATGTATGTATGTAAATTGCGACCGTCACGAAAAGGTGTAAGGTTTTGAACACTCATAACTTTGTTATTTATAGATGAAATTAAAATCAAAATACACCAATCGATAGAAAATACTTCTCACAGTTTGCTACAATAAATGCTTTTTCAATTTTCTCAAAAAACAAATTGTTAAAAAATCTACAAAAAGTGATAATTTTATCGATGTTTCAATGAAATAAACGTTCTCCCCAAACCAAGTCGTCATAATCGAGTACCATTTGGTTGCGCATCATTTTGCTTGAACCTGTAAAACTATATAAGAACTCTGCTGTCGTTCCTGCACTCATATCCCGTGCCAGGAAGCAACACGTACCAGCATCCAGACAGGTAAGTCATACTTTGAACCTTGACAGCCCACGCAAAGATCTTATCAGGCTCCGTAACACCAAATTTTGAAAAATAAGTCGAGCCCGATCCCTCCGCTTTCCTCTGTTGACCAGAACTTGGACCCATCCCTATTCATAACCCCAGTTGAAAGGCCAATGATTTTGGCCAACATTTTGTGATTTCACATAATCTTGGCCATACCATGGTGAGCCCCCATGGGCCTGCC